TGTTCAGCTCTGTGCTCCATTTTTTAATAGGGTTCTTTGATTGTCTAGAGTCTAATTTCTTCAGTTCTTTGTATACCTTGGATATTAGCCCTTTATCAGATGTAGGGTTGGTGAAGATCTTTTCCCAATCTGTTGGTTGCCGCTCTGTCCTATTGACTGTGTCCTTTGCTTTACAGAAGCTTTGCAGCTTTATGAGGTCCCATTTGTCAATTTTTGGTCTTAGAGCACAGGCCATTGGCGTTCTGTTCAGGAACTTTTTCCCTGTGCCTATGTATTCCAGGCTTTTTCCCAGTTTCTCTTCTATTAGTTTCAGTGTGGCTGGTTTTAGGTGGAGGTCCTTAATCCACTTGGAATTGAGCTTTGTACAAGGAGATAAGTATGGATCAATTTTCATTTTTCTACATGCTGACCACCAGTTGGACCAGCACCATTTGTTGAAAATGCTATCTTTTTTCCATTCGATGGTTTTAGCCCCTTTGTCAAAGATTAAGTTACCATAGGTATGGGGGTTCATTTCTGGATCTTCTATTCTATTCCACTGATCCTCCTGCCTGTCTCTGTTCCAATACCATGCAGTTTTTATCACTATTGCTTTGTAGTACAGCTTGAAGTCGGGGATGGTGATTCCTCCAGAAGTTCTTTTATTGCTGAGAGTAGTTTTCGCAATCCTGGGTTTTTTGTTATTCCAAATAAATTTTAAGATTGCTCTTTCTATCTCTGAGAAGAATTGAGTGGGAATTTTGATGGGGATTGCATTAAATCTGTAGATGGCTTTTGGCAAAATAGTCATTTTTACTATATTAATCCTTCCAATCCATGAGCATGGGAGATCTTTCCATCTTCTGAGATCAGCTTCGATTTCTTTCTTCAGGGGAATGAAGTTCTTGTCATACAGGTCTTTTACTTGCTTGGTTAGGTTCACACCAAGGTATTTTATATTATCTGTGACTATTTTGAAGGGTGTCATTTCCATAATTTCTTTCTCAGCCAGTTTATCTTTTGAGTAGAGGAAGGCTACTGATTTGCTTGAGTTAATTTTATATCCAGCCACTTTGCTAAAGTTGTTTATCAGGTTTAGGAGTTCTCTGGTGGAAGTTTTGGGGTCACTTAAGTATACTATCATATCATCTGCAAATAGTGAGATTTTGACTTCTTCCTTTCCAATTTGTATCCCTTTGACCTCCTTGTGTTGCCTAATTGCTCTGGCTAGGACTTCCAATACTATATTAAATAAGTAGGGGGAGAGTGGGCAGCCTTGCCTAGTCCCTGATTTTAGTGGGATTGCTTCAAGTTTCTCTCCATTTAGTTTAATGCTGGCTACTGGTTTGCTGTAAATTGCTTTTACTATGTTTAGGTATGGGCCTTGAATTCCTGACCTTTGCAAGACTTTTATCATGAAGGGGTGTTGAATTTTGTCAAATGCTTTCTCAGCATCTAGTGAGATGATCATGTGGTTTTTTTCTTTGAGTTTGTTTATATAATGGATTACATTGATGGATTTCCGAATATTGAACCAACCCTGCATTCCTGGGATGAAGCCAACTTGATCGTGATGGATAATTGTTTTGATGTGTTCTTGAATTCGGTTCGCTAGAATTTTATTGAGTAATTTTGCATCAATGTTCATAAGGGAGATTGGCCTGAAGTTCTCTTTCTTTGTTGGGTCTTTGTGTGGCTTAGGTATGAGTGTAATTGTGGCTTCAAAGAATGAGTTGGGTAGTGTACCTTCTGTTTCTATTTTGTGGAATAGTTTGAAAAGAATTGGGATTAGGTCTTCCTTGAAGGTCTGATAGAATTCTGCACTAAAACCGTCTGGTCCCGGGCTTTTCTTTGTAGGGAGACTTTTAATGACTGCTTCTATTTCTTTTGGGGTTATGGGACTGTTTAGATGGTTTATCTGGTCCTGATTTAACATTGGCAACTGGTATTTGTCTAGGAAATTGTCCATTTCATCTAAATTTTCCAATTTTGTTGAATATAGGCTTTTGTAGTAGGATCTGATGATTTTTTTAATTTCCTCAGTTTCTGTTGTTATGTCCCCCTTTTGAGTTCTGATTTTATTAATTTGGATACTGTCTCTCTGCCCTCTGATTAGTCTAGCTAAGGGTTTATCTATCTTGTTGATTTTCTCAAAGAACCAGCTCCTGGTTTTATTGATTCTTTGGATAGTTCTTTTTGTTTCAATTTGGTTGATTTCAGCCCTGAGTTTAATTATTTCCTGCCTTCTACTCCTCTTGGGTGTATTAGCTTCTTTTTGTTCTAGGTCTTTCAGGTGCTCTGTCAAGCTGTTAGTGTATGCTCCCTCCAGTTTCTTTTTGTAGGCACTTAGAGCTATGAATTTTCCTCTTAGCACTGCTTTCATTGTATCCCATAAATTTTGGTATGATGTGTCATCATTTTCATTAAATTCTAAAAAGTTTTTAATTTCTTTCTTTATTTCTTCCCTTACCTGATTATCAAGGAGTAGGGTGTTGTTCAGTTTCCATGTAAATGTGGGCTTTCCATTGTCTTTGTCATTTTTGAAGACCAGCCTTAGACCATGGTGATCTGATAGGATGCAGGGAATTATTTCAATTTTCTTATATCTGTTGAGGCCTGTCTTGTGCCCAATTATATGGTCTATTTTGGAGAAGGTACCATGAGGTGCTGAGAAAAAGGTATATTCTTTTGCTTTAGGGTGAAATGTTCTATAGATATCTGTTAAGTCCATTTGGTTCATAACTTCTGTTAGTTTTACTGTATCTCTATTTAGTTTCTGTTTCCATGATTTATCCATTGCTGAGAGTGGGGTGTTGAAGTCTCCCACTATTATTATGTGAGGTGCAATGTGTGTTTTGAGCTTTAGTAAGGTTTCTTTTATGAAATTCGATGCTCTTGTATTTGGCGCATAGATATTCAGAATTGAGAGTTCATGTTGGTTGACTTTTCCTTTGACAAGTATGAAATGCCCTTCCTTATCCTTTTTGATAGTTTTAAGTTGAAAGTTGATTTTATTCGATATTAGGATGGCTACTCCCGCTTGTTTCTTAGTGCCATTTGCTTGAAAAATTGTTTTCCAACCTTTTACTCTAAGGTAGTGTCTGTCTTTGTCACTGAGGTGGGTTTCCTGTAAGCAGCAAAAAGCTGGGTCCTGTTTGCGTATCCAGTCCGTTAGCCTATGCCTTTTTATTGGGGAATTGAGTCCATTGATGTTAAGAGATATTAAGGAGAGGGTGTTCTTGCTTCCTGTCATTTTTGCTAATAGTGGAGACATCGTTTGTGTGGCTATCTTCTTTTGGGTTTAATGGAAAAGGATTATTTTCTTGCTCTTTCTGGGGTATGATTGCCCTCCTTGTATTGGAGCTTTCCTGCTATTATCCTTTGTAAAGCTGGATTTGTGGGAAGATACTGTGTAAATTCAGTTTTGTCATGGAATATCTTAGTTTCTCCGTCTATGGTAATTGAGAGTTTTGCTGGGTAAAGTAGCTTGGGCTGGCATTTATGTTCTCTTAGGGTTTGTATGATATTTGTCCAGGATCTTCTGGCTTTTATAGTATCTGGTGAGAAGTCAGGTGTAATTCTGATAGGTTTGCCTTTATATGTTATTTGGCCTTTTTCCCTTACTGCTTTTAAAATTCTGTCTTTGTTTTGTACATTTTGAGTCTTGATTATTATGTGACGGGAGGTATTTCTTTTTTGATCTAGTCTGTTTGGCGTTCTGTAGGCTTCTTGTGTGATTATGGGCATCTCATTCCTTAGGTTAGGGAAGTTTTCCTCAATAATTTTGTTGAAGATATTTACTGGCCCTTTAAGTTGGGAATCTTCACTCTCATCTATACCTATTATCCTTAGGTTTGGTCTTCTCATTGCGTCCTGGATTTCCTGGATATTTTGAGATAGCAACTTTTTGCATTTTGCATTTTCTTTGATAGTTGTGTCAATATTTTCTAAGGTATCTTCTGCACCTGAGATTCTTTCTTCTATCTCTTGTATTCTGTTGGTGATGCTTGTGTCTATGACTCCTGATTTCTTTTTTAGGTTTTCTATCTCCAGGATAGTCTCCCTTTGTGATTTCTTTATTGTTTCCACTTCCATTTTTATGTCCTGGATGGTTTTGTTCAATTCCTTCATCTGTTTGTTTGTGTTTTCTTGTAATTCTTTAAAGGATTTTTGTGTTTCTTTAAGGACTTCATCCTGTTTTCCCGTGTTCTCCTCAAGTTTTTTGATAGTGTTATTTACTTCCTTCTTGAAGTCCTCTAGCATCATCATTAGAAATGATTTTAGATCTGGTTCTTGGTTTCCTGGTGATATGGGGAGTTCAGGACTTTCTAATGTGGGAGAACTAGGTTCTGATACTGGCAAGTACCTTGTGTTGCTGGTGCTTGTGTTCTTGCGCTTGCCTTTCGCCATCTGGGTCACCTTTGCGCTTTCAGTGCTGTCTCTGACTGGGGCCTGTCTTTCCTATTATCTAGGTTGTGTCAGAACTGATTGGGATGGGTTTTGCTGCTTGAGTTAGAGATGAGGCCCAAGATGTGCTCGGTGCTCAGGTGGAAACCGGAAGGGGCCGGGGCTCCGGGTCAGGAGCGGATTCCTGGATCCCAATGAGTCCCAGTGGGTCCCAGTGGGTCCCAGTTGCTCCCTGATTGGGGGCGAGCACTGCCACCTCCTAGCCTAAGAAACTGCTTGAGCTAGCTTGAGCCACGGAGAGCCTCGCTCCCTCTAGGTTCTGTGAGATTGGGTGCAGAGCTGACTCTCGGGATCTGCTCCGGCACAGACCGGAAGGAACCCGCGCTCCGGCCCTGGAGTGAACTCCTGGGTCCCAGTGGGTCCTAGCCACTCCCTGTTCGGGGGCAAGCACTGCCACCTCCTAGCCCAAGACCCTGCTTGGCACAGAGGTCCTGCGAGCCCCGCTTCCTCTGGAGTCTGCGAGATTGGGTGCAGAGCTGCCTCCCGGGATCCGCGAGTGCTGGGGCCCAGACCGGATGGAGCCCGCCCCGGGCCAGGAGCGAATTCCTGGGTCCCAGTGGGTCCCTGTTGCTCCCTGTTTGGGGTGAGTGCTGTTTTTAACTTACCTGGGATGCTGCGTGAGTTCAAGCTCCTGGGAGTCCCTGTTTTTCTTGGTTTTCTGCGGTTGGGTACGGAGCTGCTGCCTCTGTATGTTTTTTTTTAAATGACTATACAAAGTTTGGTAAGTATGACAGGGGTAGATTTGGGAGGAGTTGAGTAAAGAAGGTTAATATGATCAAAATACATTGTATTAAATTCTCAAAGAATTAGAAAAAATAACATTTAAAATGTAAGCATTCTAAATCCCCATTTAAACTAATCATTTTTTGTATATGCCTGTTCATTACATTCAATATCAGAGAAATGATTAATAGCTCAACATATCTCAGCATTACTGAAAGCCAAAGAGGTCCTAAAAGATTTGCTTTGGATTTTCTGAAGAGCATTGTATAAACTGAATCAGATGCAAGAGGAAGTTCACGTTGCAGGTGTCCAAAACAACCCAAGGATCTGAGCTGGTCCATAAAGAATTCAAGAGGAGCAAGTTATGACTCTGAGAAGCACACTGACCTGCCAGAAGAGACTGTCTTCTTGGTGTCTAAAAGAAGTGCACACAGCAGAGTGTGAATAGGCCCTTGGTAAGGAGGCAATCGGTGAAGCAAGCTTTTTGCAGAATCAAATTCTCAGTTTCTTAGCTGAGGGACAAAATTGCTGTCTGTGAGGAATTCTAATTTGTTTAGGTCCCACATGGCACAGACACAGGGGCTGGAAGGCTAATGCGTTGAGGGAGAGCAACTTTATAGAGCATGGTTTGCATTTGCAGGACTCCCAACCCCAGTCCATAGAGTTCAGGTAGGCTCATTATTCACAGGTCCAGAGATTAGCTAAAGCCAGGTGAAAACTCACATTTTGAACTGAGAAAATAAAGAAGATTAAGAGAGAGAGAGAGAGAGAGAGAGAGAGAGAGACACAGAGAGAGAGACACAGAGAGAGAGAGACAGAGAGACAGACAGAGAGACAGAGAGAGGAAGAAACAAAAAGGCTGAACTGAGAATACAATAAAAGGAGTCTCTGCTTGAAGCCAGTCATCCAGAGACATGTTCTCCCATGTTTAGACATGGAGGTGCACAGCTGTGGTGGAAGGAAGCCAGATTGATTGTATATCAAGCCGGCAGCCAAACTTGACAGTAACATCTCAATGTTACTGCCTTTTTCAGTCATTCAAAATACAAGAGTTACAGCATCATGGAAGATTTCACTAAGGTTCCAGAAAGCTGCTGAGGTCAGGGAGTTCATGGTAGAATAGGATTCCTGTATGCAGCTTTTAAGTTGGATGTTCGAGAAGCTGTGCATGACGCCCAAGATGTACTTGTTAGGGATATCTGATGAGAGAAGCTTTCGGTATGGAGTTGAGTTGAACCAAGAGAGAGGCTATGGACAGATGTCAGAACTAGATGGATGGGTGCCCAGATCCATTTGAGTCTAGATGGGGTCTAGCGCCCCATGAAGCTGCAGGGTTTGGTGTTTGCCATGCTGAGTTTTGGTTTTGGTTTGCCCTAATCTCTCTTTGCTGTATTACTTTCCCTACTTTTGGAAATGGAATGTTTAATCTGTTCCCGTTTGATTTTTTAACATGACAGGGACACTCACTCATTCAAGAGCTGGTTTTAAATATCAGAAGAGATTTTGGACTTTTGAGCAACATCGAAACTATTAAGATTATGGAGATTTTTACAGTTGGAAAGAATGTATTTTTGCATTTTGAGATTCCCACGAACTTAACAGGTTGGGGTTAAACTGCGACACACAGTGATGTATGCTAGTGTTGCGTTGACAGGGTATGGCCTTGTAATGGTTAGTTTTGACTTATAACGCAATTGAATTAAATACTACTAGAGTATTAGTAAAACCTTTAAAAAGCAAGTTTCCAGAGAGGCTTATTTTTTAATGTACACATGCATGTGTATGTGGGAGAAGGGGCTGCACATGCCCACGGAGGACAGAAGAATGTTCTGGATCCTCTTGATCTGGAGCAATAGGCAATTGTGAGGCACCTGACACAGGTTCTAGGACTTGAACTTGGGTCCCTTGCAAAAACAGAAAATACTTAGAGATACTGAGCTGAGCTCGAGAGAGGCTTAAACATGGAGACACACCCTGAATGTGAACAGCGCCATCTCATGACTGAGGTCCCTGACTGAATAAAAAAATAAAAAGGCAGTTGGGCACCGGTGCCTGACACAACACCACTCCTCATTGGGCTTCCAGGTCTCTGCTTCCTAGCAGGTGTCTAGAGAAAACTGCACCTGCTGCCTTGTCTTCCTAACCATGATCAATTGTATTCCTGCAAACTGGGAGCCAAAATAAACACTTCCTCTCTTAAGTAGCTTTTCTAAAAATCAGAGGTTCTATCATGCCACAAACAAAGTAACTAATATAATTGAGAAGTATTCTTCATGGGGGATGGTGTGGTAATTCATTTGAGAGAATAAGGCATTGCAGCAGAAAAATAAAGAGTTATTAACATACTTGGAAGGCTTTAAAGATACAAATATATAAAATATATTCCTCCAGCTGACTGTGGCACCCTGTAATCATAAAACTCAGAAGATGAGGCAGAAGGATCTTGGGTTTGAGGCCAGCCAAAGTTACATGGCCAGACTATGTCTCAAAATCAACTAACCAACCAACCAACCAACCAACCAGCCAGCCAGCCAGCCAGCCAGCCAGCCAACCAACCAACCAACCAACCAACCAACAAATGTAATAGGTATCTTTTTCATCAAAGTGTCAGAACATATTAGTGGAAACATATTATTCCATAGCTGCTATTGAATGGAACAAATGTTTTATTGGAGTAGAAAGATCATAAATGCTGGGCCATAACTTAGTCAAATAATATATTACAAAGTAAAAAATTTGTCCAGGAGTTTGTATTAAAACACAACATTCTAGCTATAAACTAAGGTCACTCCTTACTTAGGGAAGTTTCATAATAAATGTATAAAACATGCTGAAATATAATTTTTATTGTTAAATATATTTACTATTAAGCAGAATATAAGCAATACTAAATTTTCACTTTAGGACTAAACCTTACCCCTTTTCTCAGAAATAAATGAAATGGGAGAGAATAGAACCTTGGAAAATTAAATCCAGTAATGGCTGGAACAATTTTCTCCAACCCCAGCAATGACTTGTTATCTTCTAAATAGAGCTTGTCATCTTGGGACAAAATTCAATTTTGAGAATAAGTGAAATTGCATCTCAATTTTCAATTGTTTAGTGTGTCTGAAAGCCCAAAATTGAGGTTAAAATTTTTTCATACTTATTTTGTATCAGATAATAAAGAATCGAGCCTCCCCTGCTCCATGAAGATGATAAAATTGATGAGTTGTTTACACAGCAGTCAGAATTCAGCCGGATGCCATTAAGTGCCTTGACTTTGGCTTTACACAGTTTTAGACTTATTCATTTCAGTATGACACCCCAAAGAAAACCAGTGGAACTTATGCCCTTAACACTATTATATCTGGTGGCTATAGAGAACATTATTTTCCCCAAAAGTGATTCTATATGATGGCTAATTAATATACCTTATGACTCGTGATTATTTCTATGGATTTCCAGAAATTCTCACAGCGCTTTTAGATTAAAAGCAATATTTAGCTTTCAGTGTAAGGCATGAGAAGCACATAAAGCCTGAGGCAGGAGATAAGAATATTGTAAACAGAAAAGAAAAACACAACAACGTGGAAACTTTGTGTCTGCAACAGTGTTACTCACCAGGGCTTGGCTACAGAGAAGCAAAGTCATACTAACCCAGTGCAAGTTCCAATTACAAAAACATGAGTGAATTTAATTTCTTTTTGCTCATTGCCATTTCTTTTTTTAAAATTTTATTTATTTATTCACATTACAAACCAACATCAGCCCTTCCTCTCTACCCAGTACCCCTTCATGCAAGTCTCCCCCCCAATTCCACCATCCCCTTCTCAAAAGAGAAGGGGAAGCCTCCCTCTGGGTGTCAACCCCACCCCCACTAACACCATGCTGCCCCCTACACATAAGTCCCTGCCGTCTAGGCCCATCCTCTCCTACTGAGGCCAGACAAGGCAGTCCATTTAGGGACACAGGATCCACAGGCACGCAGGTAACAGGCTCAGGGACAACCCCTACTCCAATTGTTGGGGGCCCTCTGATGAAGGCCAAGCTGCTCCTCTGCCACGTATGTGCAGAGGGCCTAGATCCAGCCCAGGCTCGCTCTTTGGTTGATGATTCAGGCTCTGGGAACCCCCAAGGGTCCAGGTTAGCTGACTCGTTTGTCTTCCTGTGGAGTCCCTGTCCTACTCAGGTCCCTCAATTCTTCTCCCAGCTCTTCCATAAGACTCCCCCAGCTCCATCTAGTGTTTAGACATGGGCCTCTGCATCTCTTTCCATTGGCTGCTGGGAGGAGCCTCTCAGAGGACAGTTATGTTGGGTTCTTGTTGCAAGCATAACAGAGTATCATTAATGGTGCCAGGGATTGGTTCTCGCCCATGGATTTGGGGCAGTCATTGGTTGGCCATTCTCTCGGTCTCTGTTTTATCTTTGTCCCTGCACATCTTGTAGGCAGAACACATTTTGGGTCAAAGATTTTGTGGATGGGTTTCTGTCATCATCCCTTCACTGGGAGTCCTGCCTGGCTACAGGAAATGGTCACTTTAAGATCCATATCCCCCACGGCTAAGAGTCTCAGCGAGAGTTGCCTCATAGACCCTCTGGGGCCTCCCCGCCAGGTGTCTGGCATGTCCTAGAAATTGCCTCCCTCTACCACCGATCTCCCTTCTCTCTCCCCTGCTCTCTCTCCATACGATCTTGCCCCCTTCTCCTCCTCAACCCCTCTCCCATCCAGTTCCCTCCTTCCATCAGCCTCCGATATCTATTTTGTTTCCATGTCTGAGAAAGATTACACCATTCTCCCTTGGGCTTCTTTAGGTCCTTATTAGTTATTTGGCTTCGTTGGGTCTGTTGATTATAGCATGCCCAAGGCACAGCCAGCAGAGTCAGGTACCCTGACCTCAATTGTCTGTTGCCGTTTTCTCTATAATTCCATTTTATATCACGGCAAACATGTTTAAAAAATTATCTTGGATTTGAAAGAAATAATTCTATTTTTTTTTTCTAGCAGAAAATAATCAGAGAGATTTGATGGTGACATGGATGTTTGCTTTTGTGGAACAGAAATAAGCCTTTTCTCATACAAAGTTCATCTATTGTGAACAGTTAAGGATAATAATATTATGTCAGTGAGATGGCTCAGTGGGTAAAGGCTCTTGCCTTTAAGCCTGACCCTAACCCTAACCCTGAGTTCAGTCCCTATGACCCACGAGGTGGAAAAAGAGAGCTAACTCCTATGGATTGTCCTCTGACCTCTACAGGTGTTCGGGGTATGTGTCCCTCCTCCAATAAACAAACAAATGAATTTTAAAAGATTTTTTTTAACAAAGTATAACTATATTTGAAAAGCAGGAAGAGGCAAAATGGAATCTGTTTTTAAAGCTTTGTCTATTCACTTCTATTTTGGCATTTTGATTTGCAGATAGTACAATGCTCAAACCTTGAACATAATCATCAGCCAAACCAGAATGAGGCAGAAAGCCTCATATCACCTACAAACTTCCTGTGTGGCCTTTTTAATCAATACAGCTCTCTCTTAAGTGGTAACTATTGTTCTGATAGCTATTATGATAAATGCATTTTATTTGTTCTTGATCTTTTATTAGTGGATAGGTTAATTCTGTAGTTCTTCTTACTCTTTTACTGTGCTCATATTATCAGTACAAATGTCCAGATTCACAGTGTAACGGGCTTAGTGAATTGAGATGGTTATGTTTTCTCTCCAGCACTGGGCATTCAGTCCACATGATAACTTAAAGTCCATTACTTCTGGCAGCTCTTAGATCTCATCAGAGAAGTTTCCTTGTACATCGGACGTGATAAATGCAGCGACACGACCAGTCAATGTGCAAGAGTAAGTGTCTCTAGAGTGCTCAGCTATGAGCCGTAGAAGATTAGGAACAGAAATACTGTAATAGCTAAGGGTTGGGGAGACCAAGATGAAACATTGTTTCATAAACATGACAAGACCAATGCGTACAGACTCAGAGCAGCTGTGGCTACATGCACAAGATCAAGCCAGTCAACATTCTAGCATGGAGGACAAGGGCTCCTGAGTGCCCACCCTTAGCTGAGAAGCCATTGACAGTTGATTACTTCTGGGGATGGGAGAATCAGTTTTCTCTAATCCATCCAGTGTGTAGTGACAATTCTGGAATTTTGGTTTGGTTTCTTTAAAAAGCACAGAAATATTATAAGAATGTGTGTTTTTGTTTTGTCTTATGTCCTAGCAGAGGCATGGTTTCGCTAGCTGCAAATACTTTCTGTGATTGTGTTATGTTTGGAATTCTGGAAACTTTCCAGAGGGAATATATAAATGCCAGAGCCCTGATAGGTGGGGCAGATGGTTGTTGGTGGCTCATGGGGTTGGATGCAGTTTGTTAGCAGTCATGAAACCGGGGAGATAAAAGATGGGAGAAGAAGAACTCCCAAAGATCAGCTACACTGGTAGGTTGATCATGTTCAAATGGGTATCCACTGAGTAATAATGGCAGCACAAATCAGACTCGGTGGGTTGTAAAAGAGGAGGGTGTGAAGCTGGGGTAGGGAAGTGAATCCAGGAAGAGTCAGAGGTGAGTATGATCAAAATACCGAATGCATGTTTACAATCCTCAAAGAACTGCTAAAAATAGTATATTTACTAACATGAAAAATACAAATCACTTCTGCTGCCATTACTGAATAAAATGTAACAGGAAGTAGACAGTTGTTTGGGAGCCTAGAATTCCCCAGCAGATTGGGAGATATTAGGGCATAGAATAAGCCACCAGGTAGGCAGAAGGGCTTGCTATACTTTGGAGAGTGAGGTCGAGGGTAATTGTATCAGCCTAGATCATTGACTAAAGTGAACATTAGGGATCTATTTCTGGAAGCAGTGATCAATTTGAAGCCTGTGTTGTGGGAACAGGATCAGAGCTTGGATTATGTACAGCGTTAAGAATGTTATGTCTTAGAATTAAGGCTTTAACCTAAGATTAGTCTTACCTGTCATGCTGGGTACCAGTTTTCACACAGAGGTGATGGAAATCCCATTCCAGTTGAGGACACAGAAGAAAGGAAGGTCTGCTCCTCCATAGAGCGTACAGAGTCAAACCCTGTCTCACTATGATAGATTGACCCTCGTAAGCAGACCATGCCTTAGATTGGTTCTTCTTCCATTTCCTGACCAGATGAATTCTGGAAACTGTTTTATATGGCTGCATTGACTTTCTTTCTTTACCAGCCAGAATAAATTGCTGTGTGGAGACAGGGATAAAGCAAGCTGAGAGCTCATTCTCTGGATTGTGTTTAAACTCTCATACTAACTTTGTGACTTCAGATAACGTATTCCCTCAAGTCCCAGTTTTTTTTTTTTTTAAAAAGATGGGATAGTATTCATCACGTGTGATGAAATGATTTATCTTCATTGTGGACTAAATTTAGGATCACCATAGAAACATGTCTTTAGGTGTGTCTATGAGAGTGTTTCCAGAAAGGTTTAACTGAGGAGGGAAGATCCACTCTGAGAGTGGTAAAATCACTCCATGGTCTGAATAAAAGGAAGATAATGAGCCAAGCACCAGTATTAATCTCTTCCTGTTTCCTGGTTGCAGATGCAGTATAATCACCTACTTCAAGCTCCTGCCACCATGACTTCCTGCCTTGATGGACTGTCACCTCCAAAGGCAAGCCAAATAAATTTCTTCCTTCCTTAGGCTGCTTTCACCACAGCAATGGGGTAAACAGCTGATGCAGAGAATTAAGTGAGAAAATCTGTGAGTATGGCTGCTCCCTGCTACTCACTTATCTACGGGGTAGAAAAGAAAAAGAAAGGAACCTGTTTAAGCTACTGGCTTTTCTCCGTTCATGAATGTGTGTGGATCTCACCAATCTGGATGTTTCCAAACCTTTAATTTTAATTAATTAATTAATTTATTTTACTGAGAACATCATACTCGTATAGAATGGGAATGTATTTCGATCAAATCATGCCCCCTCCTTTCCTCTCGTGTCTTCCCACAAATTCTTTTCCCATCCAACTTCATGTGTTATCTTTTATTTTTTTAATTTGAATTTTTAGTCGATGGGGTCTGTTTAGTATTGCTTGTATGTAGGATTGTCTACTGGAGCATGGGCAACCTCTTAGATCACATCCCTAGAGAAAACTGACCCCCTCTCTCAGCAACAGCAGCCATCATTTGCCGGTAGCTTCTCAGCTAGCGGTGGGACTTCACGAGTCACTCATCACTCATCCTGGCATTTTGGCTGGCTTAGCTCTGTGTAGGTTTGTGTACAGAACCCCAGCAACTCTGAGTTCATGTGTGTCATGATCCTGCCATGTCCAGCAAATAATGTTTTAACTGCGGACATCTACTAACTCTTCTATGTGATGTTTCCTGAGCCTTGTGGGGAAGGGGATGTGATGTTCATCCTGTATCTTTAAAAAATAATAGGCAGACTCCTTTCTATTTCTCTGGATGCTAGTCTACTGAGGGCAGTGATCGTATCTTTCTCATCAGTGACTGTCACGATGCACAAAGTGGACATGCAGGAAATGCTTGCCATGTGTATCAACACAGCATGTAATTTGGTAATTATGTTACATATCATTTGGGGGTTATTTCTTGCATAACATTCATACTCAAGTTTATTTTTTAGGGAAGGCATAAATGTCAGCAAACCCTTCAAATCCACTTGATGAGCTCTCTTTGACCTCGTAAGCTGTCTTGACAACACAAGACTGCTATTTATGAAACAATTCTCTGTTGGAAGGCTCTGCAGCGAGACTGTGAAAATGACTGTAATTTAGCGACTGAGGAGCATTGCCTGAGCAGAGCCCTCATGGGAAGGATAACCTTTATCTGCAGCTCACACCACAGGAGCCTCGTGAGACCCGTGGGATGCAGGCCTAGAGACCAACCATCAATTTCCCATGATGCTCTGAATATTTTTGTAGTATATACATGACTTTGATCTTGGACATGAGATACAACACTTGAAAAGTGAATTAGGAAAGTTAGGAGCTACTCCTATCTGCCAGAGCTGCAGCTACCAATTCTGTTACTATGATTAAATGATTAATTAATCCTCAAACAAAGAAAGAAAAAGTCTGTGTTTACCCCCACTATTGAGGAGGGCACACTGACAGCTGCAGGCCATTCCTGTAACTATTTTTTTTATTTGTTTTATTTTGTTTTGAGATACTGGATATTAAGTTCAGGGCCTTGCACAAGTGCCCTATGAATGAGCTATATTCCAAGTCTATATATATGTATATGTATATATATATATA